CAGCAGGAGTTCAGCCAGCAGGACTATCAGCCTGATAAATGCTTTCATCTTAAAGGTTGTATTGCTACAATAACCCTGAAACTTAAAGCTGCTCCTTGAAACTATAGCCTGGCTAAAAAGATGAAGAGTGCCCTCTGACATTTCTAGGTTGCTGAAGAGGTCTCAGGTTCAACATGCAGCTGTTCTGAATTAGAAATTACTGTAGTGCTTAATAGTTTTAAATTAATTGGGGCCAGTACTACTGAAAGAATTAACTTTAAATTGAGATGAGACTGGACTCTGGCTAATGAGTCCCAACATTTTGTTCCTACCCAATTATAAAGTGTTTCTACAGGATTTTAGGAGTCAGAACTAATCCTGCTATTTTTAGAAACAACAATGAGTTTCACCTCCTCTGTTTAGGTATTTTGCAGTTATAAAACGCCTATAAGACTGCTATAAAAACTAATCTATAGAGTAGGCTGAAAGTGGTGTAAGAAGCTAGCAATGACTAGGTAGGATTTTAGCTTTCTAGAAGTTTGTAGAGATCTGGAAGTGTAGTTATGTTCTGAAAGCAGTTAGTGTGCACTGATTGTGCATGTTGAATAGTTGAATGAACAGTGTGAAAGGAGATGGGATGATACAAATGGAAGAAGAGTAGAATAAAGAACCACAAGGAAAGGAAGTGTGAGATGAACAAAGGTCAAGTTACAGCTTTTATATCTAAAAATAGTAATCTGAGGGCTGTAGCAAACCTTAGCCGTAGCTGTTCTAACCCAGCAGCTATTTAACACAAAAATATTTGTAACATACAACAATTACAGTTAAGGCAGACAAATACTGTTTTTCCATCTCTTCTGATGATGTGAAACAACTCCATTAATTTTCTTAAGATTATAATGACTTCTTTGGAGTTCCTCTGTTAAACTGATATTATAGTTTACAACCGTCTGTTTCCTGATATCACCTTGATCATACAGAAGTTTAGTGCTGCTTTATTTGACTAAGACCTTTGAGGATGTGTTCTTTTCTGAAATTTTCAAATGTGCAGCCACGACAATTGCTTCCTAGTTGGTAACTATTGTATAAGTGTGGTACAATACACAGCTTAATCCTGCAAGCCTGGCATAACGTCTCAGAAGGAAGATAGAAGGGAAGACCTCTGACAGCAGAGGTCAACAAGTGTGATTGGAGGCTTTGAACAGATGTACGGGGAGATCCTAAATAAGCTATGATTCTTCAGCTTCGAGGAGAGGTGACTAAGGGATTAGGTAATAAAGGTTCATGAAATTGTGACCATTGTTGAGAATGTAAGTAGGGAACAATTATACTGTATTTCTTTTAATGTTAAGAGGTAAAGGTTACCAAGTGAAATTACAAATTATCAAAGAAGAGGGAATACTTTTTGTTGGAAGCTACATGAGTGTACATCTGCTCTGTGCATCCTGTTCTTTTACTGTTCCCCAAACTTGACCACTGATAGAGCTAAGATACGAGGCTAGATGATTTTTTAATCCAGGCATATAATTTTTAGAATCTTAAATTTACAAGCACTGGAAATAGGTGGTAGGCTGAAGGGCAAATATAAAATTTGACCTTCCTTTTAGCTTCGTTTTTAATGCTGGTTAGTTTTCAAGTTGATGAGTGCCTTTGAACTTGCTTTAAAACATACTTGCCTCATACGAAATTACGTGATAGCAGCAGCAGCCTTGGCTAATGCATTTATCGTTTGGTGGGTTTATTAATCCTTATATCCTGATGTTTTTCTAAAATTCATCAAAAATTGCAGGATCTTAAATTGCTTAAAGCCTCAAGACTGAATATGTTTATAAAAAGAGAAATTGTGGGTTCCAGTCAGTCTGACTTCAGTCAGTGTACATTGGCTACATAGTAGCTTGCGTTATCTATTTTGTAATTGAAATGGTGGGTAGAAGTTCTTCTTCATCTCTTCCTGCATGTGTAAAATATTGCTTTCCTCTTGGGCTGTAATAATCTACTTCCAGTTGACTGATCATGTTGCTTTATGCCTCTGTTTTTGGAAGACATTCTCCTACCTTCTCTCAGCTCATGAACTGAATAACCTGTCCTCCTGTATTCAGCTTTCTATTTCTCACAAGCTGTTTGAAATCTCTGCTAAGACCTCACTTTTGCCAGCTGTTCTTTTTTGGATATTGTTATGACTGAAGCATACCTCGGTTTCTGCCACCAATGTTAGAAGTTTCTGTATAATCCAAGAATACTTTAGACTCTGTGGTAGCTCTTCTGCCAGCTTGCTTCAGTTGTAGTAATGGCCAAGTTCAAATAAAGCATAATGTGTCATATTAAAGTGAACAAAATGCACCCCACTGTGGAACGTTACTTGCTCACAGATTTTAGGAACTTAAATCTAGACCCTCTGCTCTAAATTCATTCTTTATATACATCTTTGGTTGTGGCATCCTGTTGTGGTACGATTTCACTTCCTTGACTGCTTTCCAGCATAGGTAGTTAATTACAAGATGTGTTTGAAGGAGGGTCCATGTTCATCTGATGTTTGGTGGGACTGAGGTCTGTTCTGGTTTTTTCAGGTACTATTTGGCACTGCTGATGGGCAAGTTATCGTCATGGACTGCCATGGCCGAATGCTAGCCCACGTGCTCCTTCACGAATCAGATGGCATCCTCAGCATGTCCTGGAACTACCCTAGCTTCCTGGTGGAGGACAGCAGTGAGAGTGACACAGACTCTGACGACTATTCCCCACCACAAGGTAGTGTTGTGTGCACATCTGTCTGTTTCATCTTCGCAAGTACTCACAAAGACATTTTGAATTCCAGGGAGTTTTCATGCTGCACTTAAACAGCAGGATGGCCACAGTTTCAAGCAGGTAGAGGCTGGAAAGATGGTGTGTTGCTGTGGAGGTAGCATGGGGAATGAAGCAGAGAGTTGGTACAGGAGAGTGGGTTTGTCCCCAGCTCTGCCACCAGCCTCACTGCATGGCTTGCTGCAGTTCTTACCTCATCTGGGCTGCTCTGCCTCTGTTTGCCCAGATGAGATAACACAAAGCTCAAAGCTTTTAGTGAGGATGAGTGAAAAACAATAGATAGGGACATAGCAAGTTTCACTGGTAAGCAGATGTCGTGGGGTTTTGCAGTGGTCCATATGTAAGAAGGTAGTCAGAGTGCAGTTGCAGAAGTTAATACATTATTTTTTAGATTCATGTGAAAAGACACCAGTACTAGACATAGTGGAAAGTACTGCATGTTTAATTTTATCTGTGTTTCATAGGATTTCTATATGCTCCTCATAATAATCACATTCATGATAGTCCTGACATAAAAAGCTCACTAAATTCCATAGAAGGATTGGAAATGAAAATATATCTTGCAGTTACACAGTGTAAGAAGAAAGATGACTGATGCTGTCTGGAGTTACTAATTTCCGTGCTTAAGAGCACATTGCCAGTTTGAGGGTCAGGAAGAAATCCTTCCCTCCCCTTAAATATAACTCATTGGAAGAAATGTTTTTGTCTTAAACTCTTTGGAAATCATCAGTGGCAAAGACCTAGGAGTCACAGGTATCCATGCACGGTCAGCCCCATCCTTCTTATTCAAGTGATACTAATACTTCTTCTTGTTAATGCTGTTGGTTAGTCTAGAAGATCTAGGTAAGATGTTTCTGTGTTCCAGTGTATAAAGTCCAAACTATATTAATATCTAAATTAATAAAACAGTGATTGTACAGTGAAAATTTAAATCTAGAATCATAGAATTCCAGGTTGGAAGAAACCTCAAGGATCATCTGGTCCAACCTTTCTTGGCAAAGCATGACCTAGACTAGATCGCCCAGCACCCTGTTCAGCCGGATCTTAAAACTATCCAATGTTGGGGAATCCACCACTTCCCTGGGGAGATTATTCCAATGGCTGAATGATCTCACTGTGAAAAATTTTCCTCTTTTGTCCGTTTGGAATCTCTCCAGGAGTAGCTTGTGCCCATTACCCTCGTATTTAATACGTGACTCCTTGTAAAAATGGGTCTCCGTCTTCTTTGTAGCCACCCTCTAAATACTTAAACATGGTGATAAGGTCCCCCCTGAGCCTTCTTTTCTGAATGCTGAACAAACCCAGTTCTCTCAGCCTTGCATGTCCAGAATCATGTATATATATATGTCAATAGAATAAGCATAATAAGCATATGTATTTAACAAATAATGATAGAGGATAATGTGATCATCTGGTAAAACGTTAGCATCTTTATAAAACTGAGTTTTGTTTTGGCTTTCATGCCTCACTTTTGGTACTAGGTGAGATTTCTTACCTTAGAGGAAAAGAAACAAACTTCAATTTTCCTAGCAAGCTTCTAAAACAAGACAGAGAACAACATTAAACTGATTTGTTCATTATTTTGGGTTTTTTTTTAAATACTGAGGTTCCAGTTGGAGGATGGTGAAGTTGCAGAGTACACAGATGAGAACTTAAATGATCCGAATGTGCTAGCTCTTTCTGAGTCAGTCAGGGGTGGGTGGACTCGTTACAAGCCTACAAGCCTATTTTAATGGTTACCCAAACATGATGTGTTTTCTTTAGAGCAGATTGCAGCATAAACCTCTCAAAGGTGACAAGCCTTTGACTCACACGGGCATGTAGGAAGGACTGGAAGTTTGATGGGTTTTTCTTACTAAATTATATACACAGAGAGATGGTAATTACTAGACGTATTTCTCCAAAATGCTTTCTTGATCAGCTTTTTTGCAAGTTCAGGAAGCTATACCACTCTTAACTGGCTCTGCCATTTTTTTGACCGAAAAAGATGCTGGCTGGGCCTTGAGGGGCACTTTATCAGGGTCAGTAGCATCTCCTGTCAGAAACTGTAAACAGAAAGAGTTAAATGGCAAACACTATGGATGGTGGTACTGTTCATAAAGTATTTGAACAAGGGAATTTCAGTGAATGCTGAAAAACAAGCCCAGAGGAGCAGAGACTTTGCAGAAATGTCCTGTCTTTAAAGCCAGTTGTTCCATTTGGGCTCACCTCTACATGTGAGTGCATTGGATCCTGTTATGCAGGATGGCAGGTAACTTTCCATGCTGCTGCTTAGCTCTTAACATTTAGAATACAGTAATTTGTGAAAGGTCAGTATGTTCTTTTCAAAGTTCTTGTAATGTTCCAGGAGGAGTCCCCAGCCTTGCCCAAGCACAAAGGGTAACTAACAAATAGCTTATATTGTTTATTACACTGGTTTTCAACTGTGGTTCCAGGGAAGCTTCCAAAGCACTGGTTTTCAATTTGTGGACACTTTGAAGAGTTGACAATGGAGACAGATTGAAAACCCCCACTGTGTAATGTAATAGTATATGCATAAATCACTTTGGATATACTGTGGTGAAAATTCATGAAGTAGAAACACCGGGGCTTCACAAAACCAGACAACGAACTAACTTCTAAACCTGCTTTGCTGTTGCCCACAGACGTTGCAGGAATAAGGAGGTATAGTTTGAGGCTTGGAACCGGTCCTGATGGTGGCAGGCTGAAGTACAGTGTATTTCAGCCTGAATATAATTCCTCCTGGTTGGTTGACTTTTGCTCACTTCAGAGCCTTGTTTTTGCAGATGGACCAGCTGCGTATCCAGTGCCGGTGCAGAACACCAAGCCGCTACTTACTGTCAGCTTCACGTCGGGAGACATCAGTTTAATGAACAATTACGATGACTTATCTCCTACTATCATCCGCTCAGGGTTGAAAGGTACAAAAGGAAGGCACTTCACCCCTTCCCTGTGCTCTGTTTTTCTTGTACTTTTAATGATGTGCGTTTGTCTCTCCTATCCCAGAAGCACTCTGCCACTGTTATTGCCGTTTCCAGCAGTGACACCTGCTGGTGGGAGAGCGGCGCTTGGCTCATAGAGTTTTTGTTTTTGAAAAAATGGTTCGATTGTTGAGATCGTGGTTTTGTGGCAGTTTTATAGGGCAGCTGATCCATTTGCTGCTTTCCAGCTAAATGGGCTAGTATGTTTGTGCTTCTTTGTGTGAATGCCTCTGCTACATAACACTTCCTTTGGACCTTTAATTCACAAGGTCTCCCCCCATGCTTTTGGTAACTGGGTATGAATTACAGTGCTGCTTTGACTCCATGAAATACTAAAAACTTGCTAGAGTTATTAATTATCAAGAGTCAAGTTATTCTGAGAGAAGGAAAATTCCACTGATTAATTACTATGCATCTTGCTAAGTGATGTGCATGAAGTGCATGAATGTTTGTACAATCAGTATTCCATGTAAAGTCTTTAATTCACATTGAAATTTTTACTGTTTTCACCTATCAAAAAATCTCTTACTTTGCCAGCAGTCTCAGTACGATTTACGGTGCCTTGCCTGCAGAGGCGTTTTAATTCACTGCAGTACATAAGCACGTACTTAAATATAGGTTCCATTGATTCTTTTTCATCTCCACAGGTAAATCACTTTTTTACTAGATTAAAAAAAAAAGGCAACCAAAAACTTTTGGAGCAGACTCTTGGCTGTTTTGTGACCGTGGGATATTTTTGGTGAAAGTTGCCCTGACACCAGCCCAATAGTTTTTGTAGGGTAGGGATGTAGGGTAGTCTTAGGGGGTAGAAGAATCACCTTTGAGGTTTCTTTTCCACTCCTGCTTCTGTCTGTGCCAACACAAGAAGTGCATGGCTGGCAAAATGTAGCATCCTGAGGCAACCCTGTGATCCAGAAAACTTCTTCAGCCAAGAGGACATGTGAGTTCTGGGAAACTGGAACCACCTTAAAGAAGCTCTTGTCACATCTACCAATGGGTCTGCCCAGCATCTCCACAGTGTTACAGTAGTTAGGGTAGGGGTAATTTTGAGTGGTCATCTAGTCTAGCTTTCAGATGGAAACAGTAGGAGAAAAAAAACCCCATCGTACTCTTTGTTTGGAGTTGTAAGGGCTCTGTCTTGCTGGGGATGTCTGTCCTGTTTCTTTTTCCCCCCAACTGTCACAAATGGAAAAAAGATTCCTTAATGACATCACTCTCCTTTAGGAAAATATTAATGTGCAAGCTAGAGTAGAAATATTTTTATGAATTGTCAACTGGACTACATCATTTTCATCAGTAGACAAAGAATGTGCAACATCTTGCTGGATTGGGAGTGTGTGTGAGACGGAGACAAGAAAGGTGATTGGGATGTCACTGTTGATTTGAAGCATTGTACAGTGGAAAGTATTTTACATATAGTTTTATAAAGATGTATATATTTTCTGTATCTTCTTGTCAATTTTTTTTTTCAAGAGACTATAATTTTACTGGTTTTATCACATGTAAGAATTTGCAAAACCACCCAGCTCAGGGTCACCATCCTCTCCAGCCACTTGGTATTCTCCTGAGAGTGAATGGATTTCAGTATTGTCTGCAAGTCTTAATTCATGTGGCTTTGTTTGAAATCTCAGACTATTGCTTTCTGGTCTCTTCAGCAGATGTCCCTGTGTTTACGGGCTGCTGTAGGTTTCTCAGTGTATTTTTAAATCAGGCAACTATAAAACTATTTTGAACAATAACAGTATAATTTTTGCATTCTACCAGCTTTGCAAAGCTGTCATTTTACTTGAAATATTTATAGAAAATTGATACAGAAAAACTTTTGCTGTTGGATGAGAATTTGATTACTCAAATACAAGTTCTTCTTTTCATCCAGTTTGAACGCTTCTGGATGTTTTGTCAGTTCTAGTGCAGGCTCTGAACTGTTCAGTTGTATCCTTTCTTTACGCCTTTTAATTCAGTGATTCTCAGTGCACTGCTCTCAATACCTGCAGAACTGCTGAGCTACATCTACTAGTTATACTAGTTAGCTACAACTACTGCCTGCAGAGCTATTGCGTAGAGAGCTCTCTGTTCAAGCTTTACTGAGGGATGACTCTGATCCAGACTCACTTGCAGATCATTACCTGATTTTTAATCTCTGTGCTTGCTCTGAGACCTAGTGACGAGTTGAACTATTTTACATCAAGGTTCAATAATCATTGAAGACCCTGTTGGCAGTGTAAGCATGTTGTAAACCATGCAGGATGCTGCAGCCCATGTCCACTCCTTTGCTGCCTTTACAGCAGCCTAATTCTAGGAGTTCTGTGGGAGAGAGAGGGAGAAAACTGCTGGAAACAATAATCACTCCTCTTGGTGTGGGGACTGACTGACAGTTTTACCTGAAGTCATGTATCCAAAGACATGTATCATTTTGGTAGCTGTGTGGTTAATCCAGTTACCAAAAGTGGAATCGATTCGTTTGCCTCTTTATCTTGCCATTAATGGAGTCATTAATGTGCCTATCATTATATTTTCTGAGAAAGATGAATTAAATCCCATTGTAGATTACTTAGAGAGCTGAGAGCTAAGAGGAAAAAAAGGGCCATACAAAGCCTAGCTGAGGAAAAATTATCTTGAGAAACATGTGTCTTGCCTCTGATATGTGCAGAAGCATAATTCCCATGAGAAATATCAGAAAGTTGAAATAATACAAAACCATTTTAAATTGCACATAAAAGTCCTGGAAAATGACAAGTTGACAACTTGAAACAATTTTGAGATCCTTCCTGCCAACTCTCATTTCTCTCCTGCTTCTTCATTTGAAGACAGCTTTTCGCCCACAGATGTCTTCAAAAGATTCTTGGCAGATTGAGCATCCCAGAGCATGAAAGTTTTGTCTTTACCTTCACTTTGTCTCAGCACAAAACAGCTGCCTTTCACCTCTGGTTTAAGAGTAAACCTCTGTTAAGAGTTAAGCTCTGTATTCCTTGCATATGCAAATCTGCCTCTGAAACACAAGCAGAAACACAAAATACTGTTTTAGTGCTTTTCTTGGAATCTGACAAAGAGCTGGAGACTATAAAGGTTAGAAATTAGCATCCCCAAATTAAGCTATGGGTGTTCCTCAGGGCGAGGTGCCTGTAGGAGAAGTAACTGATACCTATATTCATATCCATGTATATGAGAGACTAAGTAATCTCTGCGTGCTTCTGCCAAACTCCTGCTAGGCAGATGAGTAGATTTTCACAGGTCAGGTGTCAAAAGAAAACCTATGACATGGAGATCATGTGTAATTATGGACAAAAATCCAAAAGTATTTCTAGTTTGACATTAATACCAAACTGTAATTCTAGTTTGAGTCATGCCAGTGAGAACGTGAGGCACTGATAGATATGCTGCTTTTTCTCACTGCAGACATTTCCAGACGAGTACTCTTTGCTGCTCTCTTAGTAAGATTCTTTATCTCTGTATTAACTTGATTCCACTTATTTAACCACTGATGATGTGCATAGGATCTTCCACATCAGTTTTAATATCTCTAATAAATTTTTGTCCTTATGTACTTAGGAGCAAACACTGATTACATTCTAGAATCACCATAGAGAGAGAAAAATGAATGTGTTTTCCACATTTTTTACAATTCACAGAATAAAAAGACTCATTCTTGGAAGCGCAAGTATGTGGCATATTTGCTACTATTTCAATGAAAGGATTTAGGTTTCTACGTACTTAAATAACTTTTGAGAGCATGATTTAGCTGTCCAAGTCACTTTGCAGCATCTAGAAGTGCCATTCCGACTGATTCTAAGCAGTAATCTTTGCAAACCATCTTTGTGATTTCAGATGTGGTGGTACAGTGGTGTACACAAGGAGACCTATTGGCAGTGGCAGGCATGGAGAAGCAAAGCCAGCTGGTTGACCTCAGCAACGGTTCCCTGCTGAAAAGCGCACTTGTCAAGTTCTACAATGTGCGTGGGGAACACATCTACACTCTGGAGACACCTGTGCAGGTAGGAGGTATTTTTTAAGTCAGTTCTCAATGCTTTTCTGATGTGTTTTTCCCATATTAGCTTACTGGCATAGACCTGCAATATGAAAACAGTTGCAAAACATCCTGAACACACTCTAGAATACAATATAGATAAAAATGCATTATAAATAATTATTGTTTGCATTAAGGTAGACATCTGAGAGTGTGTCTGATTCGAAAGACGACTGTGCTAGGTATTGTGCAAATACATGAGAAGCAGTCTATTTCTCTGAATCACTGGGCCATGAACAGGCAAGAAAGAAAGAGGAAATTCTATTGTTTTGGGGTGACTAAGGAGAAAAAAGTTAGATAACTTGCTTGATGTTGAAGTAGAGCCAAGAGCTGGACAAAAATATTCTAAGTCCAGTATCTCAACTATAAGATTAGTCTCCCTTTGTTATCGCTGTAATTTTCTATTGTACAATCAGTTGATCAGATGCGATATTTTAATTTTTTATGGTATCAGATGGAGAAGGATGAATCAGAAAGTCTTGTTTCTGTTCCCACCTTCTGTACAGACTTTCACTGTAACCTAGGTCGTTTTACTTGACGAGTAAATGTCAACACATGGTCTGTATGCTGCTTAGGAGTACAACATGCTTCATGGGTCTTCGCAGCCAGTTGCTCACTCTCCCCTTCTCCCCCTTTTTCTCCCCCTTCCAGGTGGGATGAAGAGGAGAATTGAAAGAATGTAAATCCCACAGGTTGAGATAAGAACAGTCCGATAACTCAAGTATAATATAAAACTACTACTAATAATAATGATAAGGGAAATAAAAAGGGGAGAGAATATAAAACTAAAAGGGAAATTAAAAAAAAAATACAATAAACACAAGTGATGCACAATACAACCGCTCACCACCCGCCGACCGATACCCAGCCCCACCCAAGCAGCAATCTGGGCCTTCTGGGTGACTCCCCCCAGTTTCTGTACCAGGCATGATGTGCTGTGGTATGGAATACCCCTTTGGCCAGTTTGGGTCAGGTGTCCTGTCTCTGCTTCCTCCCGGCTTCCCTCCTCCCTGGCAGAGCATGAGACTGAGAAAGTCCTTGGTCAGAGTAAACATCACTGAGCAACAACTAAAACATCGGTGTGTTACCAGCATTGTTCTCAGACTAAAGCCAAACCACAGCACTGCAGCAGCTACCTTCATTTCCTCTAGTTTCTCTCTATATCACTTCAACTTCTTTTCATATATTCAGCTCTTCTCAGTTCTTCTCTACTTACTCAGCTGGGAGAAAGCACATACTGTGATCCATGTATGGGCTAATTATTCTGCCATTATATGAGTACTCATAGGGCAACTGACAGGTCATACAGAACAGGTAACTGCCAAGTCCATACTGCAGTATCTCTCATAGTGGAAATACTAACATGAGCCTCTATGCTTTTTCCAGCTGCTAGTTTTCACTGAAAATGCAGTATTTTAATATCATGGAGATTTCTTTCATTGACAACTTCAGATGAAAAGCCAGCAGCTTCAGCAGTTGTAAGCCAGGTTGGAAGTGAAGGAGAGAGGGGTCAGGGGCTTAACAATCACCTCTTAATAGCACAATCATGGAGTCTTGTTTCCTTGGGAAAAACTGTGTTCATAAACCTGCCTAAGATTAGAGCCACTCCTCTTACTAAGTCAGTGTTTATTCTATTTAGTGCATTTAAATTCATATTTATTTAGCTTCAGGAGGAAGTAAAGGGTCTTTCAGAAGGATATGTGCATCTGCTTATGTGCACGTCATGCTTCTATGTATTTGAATGCTGGTCTAGCAGTATTACCAGCTAAGTGACAGGTATGCTAGAACATTGCTAAGTATTTGGTTTACTAACAAAACTAGATAAAAACCACTGTTGCAAAAAAAATTGCTAGTAATTTTTGTAATTCTGTGCCTCTTCTCTGAAGATGTGTGTGCAGAGATGACAGTCAGTCAGTCAGTGGTCCCAGTAATTCATCAGACTAATTAGTTTTCTGTACTGTGATAGTCAGCCTTGTAATGAGATTTTATAAAAATCATTACTGATTATTGAAGAAAATAAGTTCCTCAGCTTGAATTCTTCTGCCAAAACTGTTTTTTCTGAAGCAAGCAAATGTGACCAAAAAAGCAGATTGAGATTGAGCATTGTTCTAGCAAAAAAAAGTAAAGCAGCAATAGACATAGAAAGTAGTAGGTGACAGGTGCAAAACTGATTTCCATGTGGTCCTCTGTCCCAATTCTTTAATAAAGCAGATGTCTGAGAATTTTATCAGTAAAATATACTGAACTGGTTTTGATTCTGCTGTTTGTCTTGTCTTTGGCAGGATATTCGGGAAAAAGAGATTTTATTGTTTATAACAAAACCCAGTCTAAAACTCATGTAGGATTTATACACAACTTGTCTGGAATGTTACCTGACATAAAGTCACTGCAGATCCTCGAGGTAGAATAGATTTGGGTACTGCAGGTTATGTCATCTTGATGACAACTACTGTCATGGATCCCTTCCAGGTGTTTTGTATGCCACCTTCTCCTCCATCTTCAATATGGTTTTGGCATCCTTTGTCTCGTTTAATTAACTCTCTTAAGATCTTGCCTTCCGTGTAGGAATTTATAGTTCATAAACCTAGTTTGCTGACTACAAAACCCTAGATGGGGAAATCGCACTTGTTTAGAAGTACCCAAATGAACGCTTTGCATGGAAAATAACGTTCATAAACAGTGGTAAAGTTATCATAGTGTTACAGCCTCTCTTGTTCCCTGCTCTGAGGCATCAGCCTGCCACCTTGACATGCTGCAAGAATATATTTGCAGAATATAGTGAAAAGAGCTTAAAAAGCTGAAAGAGCATGGAAAAAGGTACGGGTGGGGCAAATATGGAACTTCTGCCACACAGAATCAAACTGGTTTGAACCTTGAAAGAATGAGAAATTTTCAGAAGAGTCTTCAGGAAGTCACACCAGACTTTTATCTTACGGTGAAGCACTGGAACAGGCTGCCCAGAGAAGTGGTGAATGCTCCATCCCTGCCAGTGTTCAAGGCCAGGTTGAACAGAGCCTTGAGTGACATGGTCTAGCGTGAGGTATCCATGCCCATGGCAGGGGGGTTGGAACTAGATGATCTTATGGTCCTTTCCAACCCAAACCAGTCTATGATTCTATAATCTTACTGGAAGCAGTTCTATGAAAATTTGGTCTATATTGTGATTCCAAAGATTCAGTACTAGTTACTTATTTAATACAAAGAGCGTATCTTAAAGTCTGTTGATCAGCTGATAACTATTCAAAAAAATACTATCAAATTCTGTAAGACTTAGCTCTTACTAAACTCAGCCTTGTGTACATTGTACACCAACCTGATGTACCAGAAATATGCCCAGTTCTTTTAGCTGGCAGTTTTTTCATGGTCCTGCTTTTTAAACATTTAAAACTGTGATTACAACAGCAGGCTGCCCTGCTGGTCATATGGGTTTTTTTATTGGAGGAATGTTAATTTCTTACATTATTTGTTAAGCCCTCACAATCTTTCCCTGGCATCAAGCAGGGATTAGAATAATCATGTCATTCAAGACTTTTACAGTCTTGCTAATATGCAGTGACCCAGTTCTGTCACTTCAGAATTTCTTGTCTGATGTGCAGACAGTTCTTTATTATATCAACTAACCATACCTGCTCTTGGTTCCGAGTGGATACAGCTGCTTCCTACCTTCCCATTTAAACTTTAAACAGAGGAGTCTTCTACAGGATCACTTCAAAATTACTTAACGGCCAGCTTTAACAAACCTGGGAAATTTTTTTATCTAATGGTTCAAATTTGTAGCTTATATTTTGGTTCCGTCTTTGCTTTTTATAATTTCCTTATTTATATGCCCCAGAGAGGACCAAGGGAACAAGAACATGTGTTTAAAAACCCCGATGCTAATCTCATCTGTGCATCTATAATTCTACAGTAAATTGACATTAGCTTATGATTTTATACCACTATGTGACTGATGTAAGAACATACTAAATCTCAAGTGCGATGAAGAATTAGAGTGAACTGAGCCCGACGTTCCAGAATCAGTTGTATAAGCAGAAAAATTGTAATCACATTTTTATCAGTGTAATATTTTTAAACCCTAATTCAAAGTGGTGTACCAAACGCTAAATCTTTATAGAAGAGGTTTCCAGGAGTCTTTGAGAAGACCCTCTTGCTCTAAACCTGCTGTTCTCAGCAGCAGCCTTCACAGCATTTCACAGCTGCTTCTCTGCTGGAAATGTCCCAGCATCTGAATGGATAGATTTAAAGATGATGTGATCCTGCAGAAATCTGGTAGTTGTGTAAAAGCTATCTTATTAAGACTGAGAAGGAGGATGCAATTTCAGGTTAAATTCAGATCAAAAAGCTTTGAGGTAAGAGGCTGCCTTTTATGTTAACCAGCTGGGCTGACCTTGCTTATTTTCTCTTCATTTATTTCACGTAGAATGTTCAGGTTTGTTGCTTCTGAGTTAACATTGCCTTGCATTTAGATCACCTGAAATTAATCCTATGTAGTTGTTACTGGATGACAGTAAAGCTTCAAGAAGAGTTTATTTTCTTACAGGAACAAGAGCAACCGTTTAGAACTAGGTGGTGAAACATTCTTTGGGATATCAATAAGGACTATGATATTTTCCATATAGGCCATAACGTCATCTCTGACTGCTGTAGAAATGGATTGTGATGAGGACTGGAAAATGGAGACATTTGTCTAAGCAAAGACTTATTTTGCTACAACAGAATCTCACTGTTGTAGTAGAATCTTAAAAAAAAAACAAACCCTCCAAAACACCAACAAAACCTGTAGAAACAGAAGATATAAGAAACATCTGCATGAAAAATTGAACAAGGCCACAGCAGTGTAGTTTCTGACCACATCATAGTCTTCATTGCTTTTAGCACCATCAGTCCTTACTGGTTAATCTTATTCCCACTGTTAATGCGGGGAACAGAAGAATGAAGAAGTTACATTACTTTCCAGCAGCCAGCAATGAATTGCTGTGGCAGTACAGAGATGTGCACACACAATTCACAAGAGCTGGGTGGGCACTGCAGCCGTTGCACCTTCCAGCTTCTCTCTGGGAAAAGGAAAGGGAAGAATGTGCATCTCCACATCAGCAATGAGAGTGAGCAGGCAACAGACACAACAGACATCAGAGTTTTACTTACACATACCATTCACTAGATACTATTTTGCAGTTGGGTTCTTTCTCCTGAGAAAAATGCCTCTTGTTGCTGGGCTTTCTGCCCTGGAATACCATTTTTCTTTCATTACCGGTGGGACTCTCATTGCCAGAAGATAAGGGATTAGTGCTTAGGATTTCCAAGCTCAAGGCAGGCAGCAAGAATCAGCTTGAGCAGTGTTTTCATTGACTGAACTGCATACAGGTGATGAAAGCCATATAAATTGTGTTCTCTCCTGAAGAGTGACAGATGAGTGACTTATGAGAAGTAACCACAGAGCTTTGAGCAGGAATATCCATTCCCGTGTGCTTTTCTAAGGGGAGTTGACATCCCAGCTAGGGGTACAGATTTGGACAGATGTAGCTGACTTTCAAGCCCACTCTGAAAAAAATGTCAAAAGAACTGCTTGTTGACCACTTTTTGAGATGGGTTTTCAGTCAGTATTTCTCCTGATACAATATCTCATTTTATTGTCCTTCAGCCAACTATTTCTAATATATAATTGTAATAGAGCTGGATCCTATCTATAAGTAGAATTTCAAGGGGTTTTCCATGTTTGGGTTTTTTTTTTTTCTTAATATGTTTGTATTTAAACCCTGGAATTCAGGTATTTACATTTTGTGCTGAGCTTTTTCAAAATCTGACAGGATATTTATATGCAAAGTGAGATTAGAAATTCTCATTTGACTTTATATTTGTAGCTGCATTTCCTTGCTCATAGCAGAAATATGAAAGTGTGCAAGCATGGCAAGTAAAATTTTCTGTGCAAGAATCTGCTCATTTCTGTGCTAGAACCTTTTTGTTCTCTAACAGGTGCCATATGGGTATCAACAACTTTTTTTACTTCCTTTTTTTTTTTTTTTTGCTAAAACAGTGCAAATAAATGGATGTTTTGTGTTGGATGTTGGAATTCGATTGTTTTTTCTCAGCAGACTCTGGAAGGAAAGCTGTGGCCAGCTCATAACTGACTTGCTGCAGTAATTGATTCATATCCCTGTCTGTCCA